AGTAACAAAAAGAGGACACCGATTGTTTATTATAACCAATTATTATAACTAAAGAACATTATTGGTGATTATAAACGAAGTATAGCGGCCGGCCATACTTTGGTTATAATCACATGCATACTCGTGGTATCTTTACATGTATATATGATTAAAAAGGGCGGCGAGCGTTTATAAGCTCTCTACCCTAAGTTTCTCTTTCACTTCTAAAAACCTTTTTCTTTGTCTTTTCACGCCGGCAGCAATAAAGTAAGGCCGAGGCAAGCGAAAGCCATCACTAATACTGCTACGAATGTGTCTCTCTAAAAGAATGGTACAGTAGCCTTCACACACAGCCAGGAACTGCGAGGAGGATAAGGCGGGCGCAGCGTCCAGCAATATATAATTCAGTCTTTGAATGCGAGGAAGTTGGGGGCTAACTGCGATACAAAGAAGATGCCGTCCGTGGTGGTTACGCAGTCTTTCGTCTAATTTTTGAGGCGCTATGGGAGAAAGGATGCACAGAGGATTAAGTGGGAGGCGACCTTCTGAACAGAGTTGTTATCCAGCGAGAGACCGCACCTTTGTACCACGGCGGCAGGGATTCTAAAATATGGTGACGTCTTTCTCGTGACGGACGCCTTTCAATGCTGCGATAACCTTGCCACTTGTTTTGGTTCAAAGCGTGGAAACGTCAATGCTTCCAAATTTAGAGTTTATCATTTCTGTTGTTGACAGAACGAGAATTTATTCATTTTGAAGAGAAGAATTTGACCAGCTGAAGTAGCTATAGGACAATTAAGCAGAATCCTTCGAGAGGCGGCAGACTGTTGCGTTCTGAGCAGATGTCTCTTTCCAGCGAGACGGCTGCTCCTTCAGGGCACCGGCGACGGTAGTAGCTTCGATACAAAAACTGCACCCAGGACGCTTAGGAATTTCGTAAAGGCATAATCTTGCATCTTTTGGGCCTGGTCGTGGTGACGTTGAAGCTGTCTTCTGAGGGAGTTTGAAATGACTGTTGCCGATTTCGCCTTGTATTGAAACATGCCTTCAGGCATAACCACGAATCCGCCTTCCTTGTCCGCTTGTATAATTGTCAAACCACTCTGCTTCAAACAATTGACTACTTTCTGGAAGGGAGGTTTCCCTTTGGGTTTCAGACTTACTGTGCGACTCAGGCTGTCGACTCCGTCACCGATGACTCTCTCTCTGTCCTGTTCTCCAGCGCTTCCTGCAACACGATGAACCATGGCTTCATCAATTTTCATCAATCCAAGCAAGAACCTGCCATCACCTGTATCAACCTTATTGCCATTTTCATCTGCCAATCCCGGGTCCTGGCGTACTGCGTAAAAAGGAAATTTATTTATTTATTTTATTTATGCACACACCTACATCGCCCAGGGGGCATTATTGTAGGGGGGTTACATGAAAGAAAATACATGACAAACAAGTGAAATAACAAGAAAGCCTAAAATAACATAGAAGTTCCAGATACCTATTGGAAACAAATACATTCCTTTAGAGGTTCAATCTCTGTTCGGAGTACTGGAACCTTCTTGGGGACATGCAAAGAGAATCTGCAAGATCCTGAAATCTGAATGCTGGAGACAGGTTCGCCTGCTTCAAGACTGGCTGAGAATCATCGCTCAAGGAGAAGACGGATCCCACAATCAAGACCGTCGCTATGCCGAGTACGGGAAGTTGGCAAAACAGGCTACATAATTTCTGTGGCAAAGAGCGCGATTAAGCCTACCTTCATCAAGGAAGAACCACGAGGCAGCAACAAATAGCAACGTCACGATTCTTGGAAACGCTTAACTACCGGAAAGTGTACACAAGGTCCTGGGAAAAGGCCCAAAGTACAGCTACGAACCTTCCTCCAGTCGGCACCAGCTACTAGCCAACAGTAAGTCCCTGAAACCCAAAGGAAAACCTCCCTTTCAGAAAATAGTCAATTGTTTGAAGCAGAGTGGTTTGACAATTGTGCAAGCGGACAAGGAAGGCGGATTCGTGGTTATGCCTGAAGGCCTGTTTCAAGACAAGGCAAAATCGGCAATAGGGAAGAATTTTAATACAAGTAACTTTCGGCCTATAAGCAACAGAAGACAGCAGCACTCAAGATGCTAACGGATTTGAACCTGAATAGCCTCAAAAGGCTGTTAACAAAGCAGAAAGTGGTGTTTTGGAAGTGTTCTTTTTCTGAAAAACTCACAAACCAGAGTGCCCTCTATGGGTAGTAGTATCAGAGAGGAATTCGTGGCAGGTCCAAGTGAGCCGTTATTTACAGCGTCATCTGAATACGTTGGCATGTGATGATCCTTTTTCTTTCGTAGAAAAACTCTATGGAGATAGTACAGGACATCAAGGACGGACTTATAACGGCCAGATCAGCCTTCTCAGTGGATATAGAAGACTTGTATTATTCAGTGCCACCTGATGGACTCTTCAATGCTGTAAGGGACAAGATCGAGGAATCCGGACGGACCAAGTTCCGAAATTCGGCTGGCATCAACTGTAAAAACTTTCTAACCCTCCTTGAATCAGTTCTTTATACAAAAAAAAAAGATGGTATATGTATTGGATCTTCTGTCGTCCCAGTGTTGTGCGATATTTATCTGGAAAAGATAAATTAACGTATATCTGGGTCTCTTGAAAATGTACATGTGCTTAAGGTTTACCGATACGTTTACGATTTTTTAGTTGTTTTAGGAGATTTGGCTGGGACAAATGAAGTTGATGTTGCTTAAAAAATTATCGACATTTTTAATTGTCACTCGGGAGGTTTAAATTTCACTTGCTAATTTGCAACCCAGAATTGCATTCAGCTTCTAGATTTACAGCTTGATTTCTCTAGGCAACACTTGTGCTGGATGTACAACCCGCGATCCAAAAAAAGTCGTTTGTCATTTGAAAATGGCCACTCCAAACTTATAAAAAGAGGAATAGCTACAAATTGCTTACTGGCTGCCCTCACAAAAAGTTGGGAACACAAAATGTCAACCGCCTTCGAAAATCTGCAGGGTACCTTAACATGTTACTTTCAAGCGTTTGCAAGAGCCTATTACAGAAATTTAAAGGATGACATAATAAAAAACGTACTCTAGAACAGATCAACAAAAAAAGAGGGCAAGTTGTGCCTTATATGCACAGGGTATCGCATAATTTGAAAAAGATAGCTGGTAGATATGATATTAATCTCCTTTTTTCGGCTCTCTGCAAGCTTGGCAAGCTATGTCCTATGCTTACAAGAAAAAAAAAAGTGCAATGCACAAAAAAAGAAAAAAAACATGCCGTCAGGTACGCTAACTGCACAAGTGGGGTTGTTTATGAAATTCCTTCTAGCTGTGGCCGCATTTACATTGGACAAACGGGTCGGTGTTTCAATGAGAGAGCGCGCGAACATAATCGGTCGGTACGAAGCAATTCGGGTGGTCATCTTGCTGAGCACGTTAAACGATGTGGGTGTAAACTGCTTTTGAATTTGACGAAGTTCCTAAAGACAGCAAAGGACAAGACAGAGAGGTAAATTATAGAGGCGTTTTTTATCAAAAGAGCGGGAGACAAGTGCGTCAGCATGCCGTCGGTGTGTCTCATAGACAAAGAATTATTTTTTCTTGATGGTTTTATCTGAAGAAAGGCGCGTGGTATGCATATAATCTTAATGTATAACTATTGTTTGTCTTTTTGGGTTTTTATGTTCGCTGGCGATGGTATATATTGCTTGGTTGATGATGAAATGAACTTAGTTGGAAGTAAGCGCCAGTCCTGATGTACGTGTGCCTTCTTTGTTGTCATTGTCAAGTTTATGCTATTTTAATCATGTCTAGTAAGAACCAACTAGCCAAAACAAAAGTCGTGTTACAACTAATTAGAGTCCTTTGTACTACCCTGATGGTAACTCCTTAGAACAAGTGACATCGTACAAATATCCTGGTGTTCACTTAACTTTTAACCTTTCATGGAAACCTCATATTGAGTATATTACTAATCGTGCTATCAGCATGCTGGGTTACCTAAAACAATTTTTCTATGGTGCCTGTTTCGCTTAAATTGGTCCTCTATAAAACTTTAATAAGACCTAAACGAGAGTATGCAGCCTCCATCTGGGATCCCGGTCACAATATCCTCATCACTGCTTTGGAATCCATTTAAAACAGATCAGCCCGTTTCATTCTATCGAACTATCACCGCACCGCCAGTGTATCGTGAATGGAAAACAGTTTAACTTCACCATCTCTTTTACTTCGCCATAAAATTTCACGCTTATGCTTCTTCCATAAAGTTTTTTTTTCATAATCCAATATTACGTGACCATTTCATAACTCCACCCTATTACATATCTCGTGTTGATAACCAGCACAAAGTTTTAGTACCAAACTGCATTAACCAATACATTTCATTCATCCTTTCTACCACGCACAGCTGAGGAATGGAACCACCTTCCCGGTTTGACTGTTGCCATAACTGGCTCTAAACCTCTTCGAAGTGCCATTACTAACCATTTTTGCGCTGACTTCTGACCTGTTAGTTTCACTTGTTATGATGTGTTTACTGTATTGTTGTTTTGCTACATTTTTCTTTCGTTTTATACACTCTTCCCCTCTGTAATGCTTTCGGGCCCTGAGAGTACAATAAATAAATAAACACAGAGGACAAAGGACAAACACCTTTTCTATTACCCCTCAGGCGCTTCTTCTGTTGCCCCTCAAGCAGCCCGATTTCAATTGTAAATTTAGAGACTACAAATAACTTTTGTTTTCTCGATGACACTATATAAGTCGCTTGCGCGCAGCCGCCTCTTCGCTGAAAGAATATAGTCGAGAAAAAAATGTGTCATGCCGTTTCCAAAACGCGAAATAAAATTCTTCGAGGCTTTCAATGTTTAATTCGATATCCAGACCGAAGAACAAAAATATCGGTTTATAGTTTCTTGCGTGAATTCCGCCGGTCTATTGCGAAAACTCACCACATTTTGCCCTTTTCTGATGAACTCTCGCAATGATAAATTGTCCAACGTCCAGTTCTGGTGACCATGGTTCTGACCACTTCTACGGCCTACCTGAAGTACAAGCGCGAGATCATGGTGTGGCTGTACGCTCGGGGAATTTGCGGCTGCCTTCAGTGCATCAAGGAGGACGAGATAGACGAGGACAAGCACTTCGACGTGTTCGTGTCCTTCAGCAGCAAGGACTCTGCCTTCGTTTACGACACGCTCGTCCCGGGCATCGAAGCCATGGGGTTCTCAGCCTGCACATACGACCGGAACTTCAAGGGAGGCTTCCTCATCCAGGACATCATCCAGGAGGCAGTGTCCTGCTCGAGGCGAACTCTCCTCTTGCTATCCGAGTGAGTTGCACTAACGTAGGTACGCTGCCTAGAGCGCGTTTCCGACTGATGAGTTACCCACGTCTTCATTTCCGGTTCCTCAATTCCTGCCTAGTGACGTCACAGCAGCGTGATATGCGGAGAGCATGTCGTCCGCTTTTTGCGCAGCAGTCGAGGTGACGTCAGAACGACGCCGGGCTCTGATTGGCTTTGATTGAAAGTTAATGTACCTTAGTGCTAGACGCCCGATGTCTACGCACTATTGTTTTCAATCAGTCGATATAAGAGCCCGATGTTCTCACATCATCGCGACCCCCCTGCAAGAAGCAGACGAGCTTGCGCTCCGGATACCGCGTGAGTCAAAGGGATAGTTGGCCATTTAAAGGACCCATAAAACGATTTTCGGACTTCCGGCCAAACAAGACGCATGGCGTTTGGGGATGCCCTTCAACCAACGTTATTAGATTACCTCAGTTACGGAACTGCTCATAGGCGCCGCATACACGAACGGTACCCCCCATCACTCACCACGACTCACCAAGCGTCGCTCGACGCGCCGCCAGACGGCTGCTTTGGGAACTGAATCAGGATACGTACATTTCAACGTTACTAGAAACGTAAAAACAACGGAAAAAAACTCTTTTTGTAGTAACTTTTATTGGAGTTTAATACAAAAAGGGGGGGGGGGGGGGGCGCGTGATGTTTTCTATCATCTTTAGTTTGCAAGGTTTTGCAGTACAATTAATATTGTTTTCATACAACCATGACTCAGCGGCCATTTCAGGTAGCACGTCCCGACCTAGGCTCATCTTAAGTTCGGGGTGTAAGTCTCACACTTTTTTGTCCCATATAACACACCTCGAAACTTCAGTTCGGCGTACAGAGCCCTTATTTTGAACTGACGGCCCCAACGTTTTCGAAGGACTGGATATCCGCGCGTAATAACTGATTAAACATCTAAAGTACGTATCAAAGACCACAGGCAAAAAAAAAACATTAATGTTTTTCAATAAGGCCAAAAAACTTTTTTTTGTTTGTTTTTGTATTCAGTTACACGTATAGTGCCCCTCAAACTTAAAGAGGTACGGCAAAAAAAAAAATAATAAAATTGAAATATTTAAATTTCGTTCGGAAATGAGTCCAGCATGACAGGTAATAACCGTAAAAGATAATCGCACGTTTGTATTTTGAACGACTGGCTTTATTTTTCGTTCCAAACGGTACACTCGAGCCAGCGCTTGAAGAGAAGCGAACAAAGAGCACGATGCGTCACGGGATATCCGGCGCAAACAAAAACAGAAAGAAAAGGTTGCCCGCATTCGTGACGTAGCAAGGCAGGCGTGGTTACGAGCTTTACCCTTGGTGGCGTTGTCAGCGTTGTGGTGGTGTCAATAGCGTCAGCGCGTTACAACCGAGCCGTTCGAAATACCCGTGGGGTGACGAGCGTGTGGCTGGCCCAAGGAGCAAGTAGCTTCCACAACACTGTCAGCTTAGGGCTGAACAGGGTGAGGAAAGCAACTTTTGTTCGAGTTTTGAGCGACGGGCTACTCTTCTAGGGGAGACTGGCTGTTTCCGGTTGCACAAACGAGGGTTGCACGAACGAGGGTCCCAGAAAGAGGGGAGTCCTTCCTTTCCGTCTTCTTGGACCGTTTGGTACAATGCGCGATCTGTGAGTTGAGCTAGGAGGAAAGCTAAGAAGGAAAATGTTGAAATTCCAAAGCGCGGCGCTGCACCGAAGGAATCTGCTACGTCACGACTACGTAGCAAGTTCCCCAACATTGCAAGATTACCCCCCAAATAGGCTCCGCATGCATCCACCAGGTGCACATTGAAAGATCGTTTATTTAGCTTTAAAATTCGTTTTCTTGTGCCTTTCAACGGAAGACTGGTGTTTTTGAGGTTAGGGTACAACATGCAATACATTCAAGCTAGAAAATGAGAGCTGAAATTTTGTTTCCGTACCCCTTTAACGCCGCCACTCGGTTTCGAAAATATTGATCTATTGCATGCTACCCAAAGATAAATTGATCGCTGCAGCTGCTGGACTACCTTCCCCTGGTTGGGCTTTCATTGAAGACGCAAATCTTCACCAACTAGTTGGACCGCTAGGTTCAGGAATATCTCAAGATGTGAAGAAACTGGACCATCTCTTGGTGGCGTCAAGTTTGGGGCGCACCGTGCATTAGCTGTTTTAATAAGTTGTTCCACTCGGCTAGCAAGCCGCTCGTGAAAGTTGGTGCCATTGGTTCGAAATCAGTACGCTGTACGCGGACCTGAAGTTTGGGGTTGTAGCATATGGGACAAAGAATGCAAAAATGTGCCCCCGTTTTTTTTTTTGTTTTTTTTTTTTTTTTTTTTTTTTAGAGTACTGTGAACTTAAGCTGTTCCTTTCCTCTACCTTAGGAACTTTGTGGAGAGCGAGTGGTGCCTGTGGGAGTTCCGTGTGGCGCACCACCGCGCTCTTAAGGACAAGATCAACCGACTGGTGCTGCTGCGTCTGGATGACGTGGACCCCAGTCGACTGGACGAGGAGCTGCAGCTCTACATGCGAACCATCAACTATCTCCGCTGGGGCGAGGCACACTTCTGGGACAAGCTGCTCTACTCGCTGCCCAAGAGGCACGCCACGGGAAAACTCATCGTCCACCATGAGGACGGCTTTGCAATGACCCCATTGTCCCACGTCGAAGAGCCGTAAACTCTAAAAAAAGGGTGTGTGTAGACGTTACACCCCTTGTCACACATACGACACCCCAAAACTTCAGTTGAATGTTCAGCGCACTGACGTTGTAGCGACGCTACTAAATTTCACGAGCGGCTTGATAGCCGAGTTGTACAACTCATTAAAATAGTTTATGTAAGCGTGACTGACTGCAAAAAAACGTTATCGGGGTTTTCTAGGCTCAACTGCAAAACCTGTGTGTTTTTTTCCTGTAGACTTTGATACGTACTTTAGCTGTTTAATATGTTATACTGCACCGTCATCAACCCTCTCGCAAAAGTTGGGGCAGTCAGTTCGACGTCAGCACACTGTACGTCCAACTGAAGTTTTAGGGTGCCGTATATCTGACAAAGGGTGTAACGTCTACACCCCTTTTTAAAAAAAAAAAAAAATAGGTGCTTTTGCCATATAGAAAAAGACCACGGGCCACGAATCACGGTACGTTAGAGACGCCACCTATTGTGTCCATGATAGTCGCTTCTCTTCTGCTTTTTCTGCCGGTTACTGCGGGACATACCAGGTGTTTTTTGTTGTTGTTTTTTTAGAACAGGACCGTGTTTTTCGGCGTGCGTTTTATTGTACAACAAATCACAGGATACTTAAACTTTGTAAAATGGTTGCGTTAGTGAATGGGATAGAACGCGAAAGTTTGATAACATGAAGTGCCTGAATCAAAGGATAAAGATAAAAATAAAAAATATATATGGGCCGATGAACACCAATGATAGCGTAAAAAAAGAAGCTAAAGTTGAGGCTTGGGCGAGTTTGTACATACTTCGGAATTAAAAACAGCGCGAAAAGACGAGGACCAGACAAAGAAGTGACGCGGACGTAGCGCTGAGTTACAACTGAGTTTATTGAACGCAAAATCGCAATATATATTTGCTGTGTCACGAACAAAAGAACAGAAAAAATTCAGCCCACATGTGATGTATCACCAATAAAAATAAAACAATAATAAAAAACATAAAAAATAATTATAAAAATGCGCCATGACACAGCTGTACAGAGTATGTGCTAAAAAACGAGCAAGTCGGGGAACCAGAAAATTCATCTCTTTGCCTGATAGGGCCACAGAAGGACTGCTTACACATGCTGCACCCAACCTCGCTATCTCAACAGCCTCTAGAATTTCCCGAGTAAGCTGGTTCCTATGACGCTTAACAACCTCACACCGTTGGAAGTCGGGTTATCATTGTTTTATTTTTATTGGTGATGCATCACATGGGCTGAATTCTTTCTTCTCTTTTGTTCGTGACACCGCAAATATATATTGCGATTTTGCGTTCAATAAACTCAGTTGTAAGTCAGCGCTACGTCCGTGTCACTTCTTTGTCTTGTCCTCGTCTTTCCGCGCTGTTTTTAATTCCGAAGTGAAAAAAGAAGCTTACATTATGGACACATGTGGCATTTCTATGAACGAAAAACTGTTGGCAGCAAGAAAGAGAACAACGTTAATTATTTCTTGGTGAGAATTTTTTTTCCCACTTAATTGAATACTAAAGTCGCCCGGCAGTATCATTTCTTGTTTTGATGATATTAGGCTTAGGTGGGCGTCGGCTCATAGAGAAAGTTTTTTCTCCTTTATCTTTTACCTATCTATAGTGTTCTCAAACTTTGTATAAAAGTTTGTTCTGCTGGGCGGGTTTGTAATTGACATTCATATTAAAAATAGCTAAAAAAAGACGGCACAAAAAGACGAAGAAGCACAAAATAGATCTTGTCCTGTGTGCTTCTTCGACTTTTTGTCCCGTCTTTTTTGCGCTATTTTTAATATAATTCTCAAACTTTCCCTCTCCATCCCGGCCGTCGGAGTCATATTCTAACGAAGTTTCAGATTCTTGGGTTAAGTTAAGTTTATTTACGCAAAACAAAACAAACCAATTTCTTTTTTTAATAACCGTTATCATTATATGTTTGAAAGTTATAGACGGTGGGCCTTAATTCTGAACAACCCGCAAAGCAAAGAGCGTTCTTTGTACGGATCACCACAGTTGAATGATTAGTTTAATAAGAATACGATCCGGTGTGCCGTTATTTTGGCAAATATACATTACACCCTTTCAGACGATGTAAAGGGGCACTGAGGGGAATGTTGAGGTCGTCTTTTTTTTTATGGCACGAATTCAATCTATGCACCCTAAGAAGGCACGTAGCCAGGATTTTGTTTCAGAAAAGGGGGGGGGGGGGGGGGGGGGGGGGGCGCTGCCCATGACAAAATGCTGTATGGGGGGAGGGGGGAGAAGAGGTCCCAGCGAAATGGAGGATCTCGGGGGGGGGGGGGGGGGGGCGCTTCTGGTCAAGAGATCCAACGAGTCAAAAGATCCAACGAGTCAAGAGATCCACCGAGTCAAAAGATCCACGGCGAGTCAAGAGGTCCAACGAGTCAAAAGGTTCAACGAGTCAGAAGGTCCAATAATGAACCCTTTGGCGTGTTGTATCTCTTGACTCGGCAGACGCGAGTCAAAAGATCCGATGCGGGCCAATTACTCGAGAACTGCCGCGTCATATTGCAAGGGGGTCGCGAAAAGCTCCTCACCAGTTTTCCCCTAGTGCAAAGGGAGACGTTGAACATTAAAGATCAGAAAACATTTTTTTTACTAAGTGCTGTAGTTTTTATCGAAAAAGAAAAAAAAAAAGTGAGATTTAAGTGTGACGCTCAACTCCGGTGCGGAGTCACCGGAGTTGAGCGTCAGTTTCCGGTTTGCCGCCAGAAAACGGGCCTGAAGGGGTTACCCGGAGACCGGTTTTGTGTCGCTGGCTTTTGTAAGTGGGGAGGGAGCGCTTTTCTTTGTTTCGGGTAGATGCGCCACTAAAACTTTGCGTGAGAAAAGTCAAGAATATGAGTCTTTTGACGCGTCACGTTTTCACGACAAAATTTAAAAAAAAAATGTATCCTCAAATTGAGCAGGTACTATTGAACTTGCCAACTCTTTCACTCAGTTCACATCACGCGCTTACTTTCTTGACCGGCACAAGCGGCTGCAGGAAGAAAGGGAAATAGTCCCCTTTCTTCTTCGCGATTTCTCCGCGGCTAGGGGAGGGCCGGAGGGGATCATTTTGTTGCGGTGTCGCTGAACCTGGCTTTTTTTTTCCGTAAAGCAGTATTGTCCGCGAAGACGAAGCAGAACGAGCATACAACCGCGGCGAGAGGACCTGCTTTCAAAACTCCTTTGTCTTTAGGTGACTTCGATTTTCCTGGAGTCACGAATAATTAGCGGGCTAGCAAGCAGGCCAGAGGCAAATCGCCAACATCTAAACGAAAAAGGCAGGCGAAAAAACGATCTGAGTGGCGATGTGTGTAAACAAAGTTATCCAGGATCTAAAAATCGCTGAGCTCATGTCCGGAGAGAGAGTATACGGCGAGCTTTTTACAGCGAGGCTTTTTATGGCTAGGGTATTTTTTCGTGTGCGTAACCAAAAACTTTACGCTCGCACCGCCGCACGCGCACGCCTTCTCCGTATAGAAGATTCGAAGTAAATAACCAAAATAAAGCGTTGATGAACGCGCGTGCAAGGAACCATTTGTTTCGGGTTTTTGCTTTAGAACAGTTACTGCTGCAGACGACGGCACGTGCGGCGCCTGGAACACCATTCCTTCTATTCTCCTTCATGCTTGGGTAATAGACCGATCTCACCGGCCAGTTTGACTACGCCACCACTGCCGCAATTCATCAGGGGAACTTTAGTCTTTCTGCACGTGCGACAACCTCGCAGAAGCTCTGCACGTGAGGAGCACGAGACAGCACGAGCCCTCTCGTGCTCTGCCGTTTGCCTCCTGTGAACTAAAGGTATGGTGGCGTCACGCATGCCCCGAACGCTCGGTGAGATCGGTCTATTAAATTTATCAATAGGTCTATTCAGTAGATGTTATCAATAGGCACCATTTTCAAGATCAGTAGACTCTCAGGTATAATAAAGGTTTATCAAAGATGTGCCACTGTGCGACCAGCGAGGCGGCGGAGCAAACCTCACCGGAGAAAAGCTCACTGGAGATAAGCTCACTGGAGAAAAGCTCAGCACCAAACTGTCCGATGCTGAGAAAAGCTCACCTACGAATCTAAGAATCGAGCGTCGACTCAAGTGAAATACGCTCACTCAACTGAAGTATGCAGTGATGGCTTATGCGCATGTGGTCATTCTGCCCTTCACTAGCAAAATATATTCTTTTAAATATTATAACATCGTGTAACACGTTAGACGTTGCCCGACGAAAATAAAATAAATAATTCCTATAGAAGGATAATTAAAAAAAAATAATAACAAAACAAATGTCGATAGAACACTAAAAAAAATCGTATTCCCTCTATCCTGGCTACGTCAGAATCAAATATGGTGACACACGAAGACGCTGTTGCATAACACGCAATCGCGAAAAATATATTTGAGGTTTCTGTTTATTCAGTGCCAGGCCGGTTTGCCTTTGATGAGCGCGGCGACACTGATTTACGCTGTAGACGAGAAATTTTGACAGTGCAGTACCACTACAAGCCTGTGGTCTTTAACGTGCATCACGCAGTAGCCATACATGACTGCACGCACGCCACTACAAATATGTAGTAGGTTTATGATAATGTCTGACTCATCATGTGGATATGTTTTCTGGCACCGCCATTGCACTAACTCAAAATTACGAAAAATTATTATCAGATTTTTTTTCTTACCGCGTTTAAGCTACGTTCCACTAAAGCTACTGTGCAGCCGACGCTACGAGCTGACAGGACCCATTAAGCAATGGTGAAAACAAAACGTATTCATAGCGTGCGTCGACTTTTTTGTGCATGTTATTACCGGCTAGTCCAATCAATCACAGAATGCCTCACGGCTTTGCACTTTTAGTGTGCGCGTGTGCATTTGTGTAGTGACTTTCAAGCTAGTACAGCGCGCAAAACTCTTGGGAAATTTCTGCGGTAGTCAAGCATACAGCACGAAGAGATTACGTTGGTCACCAGCCGATTGAAATGGAAAACGCACAACTCCGTGACATA